GTTGTTCAACAGCAATTCTGTTAGTAAATTCACCTATCACCAACTTGATATGGATTGTCCCTTAAACACGAAAGCTAAACCTATTCCACCAGATAAGATCGAGTACAAATTCTGTCCCGTGGTGTTTGTTATTAAATTCCTCAATCTCACCGTATACCATTACCTCAATTGCTTTGAATAAAGTTATCACGCAAGTCCTTATTTCAATTTAAATCCCACAAAACTATTGAATATGTGTACATTGCTTCTAATATTTACATTCATTTCACTACCAATGTAAGTAATATGTCCCTGTGATCTCAAATCACTGCTAGTCGGGGCGTTTTGTCAGCACCCAACAGAGGTCATTGCGGTTCTTTATATAAGGGATTTATAGCTATCGATATCATTGCTGGTTTTAGGGTGCGTATGTCTTGTTGTAGATGTTTGAAAGAGACGATGAGATTTACTTGCGAGCCGACGTCACGCGTCATAACAACCGATTCCGGTTACCTCCCTTTATTTATACAAGCAAGTCGTAAATCGCGACTGCTACAGTAACTCAAGATTCAGAGAGCACGTAGCTTTCGCTATGCCTTTCACTGCTGTAGATTATTTACACTGATTATAGTAGGTAAGTTGGTGGGGGGCCTTATCTTCGGTAAATACACCTCTCAATGTGCATTAATGTTGATTAATTGCAAACAATAGGGTAGGCATACAAACGCGTTGACGGCGGACCGTTTCCCTGACACTGGACACTTGTGATAACGTACTACCCAAAGTAAGGGTCATACGATTGGTGAGAAAAGTATTATATGTGTTCTTACAACGCAGCTTAGAATTGCTAAACAACGCATAAACTTACTTGAGTATTCATTATGATTATTGATCCGTGAAGATCCGGGGAAGAAAAGGTCTTCAGCAACCGATACTTGAAATGAAAGCCGACTATGCTTGCCGTACGAGACGACAAACGGGATCGGGTGGTCAGGTTGATGCATGTCATCGTATCCCAATTGCGTAGATCGATGCTCATGATGTCAATCACTGGATTGTCTGGTCCAGACTCGATTATTTACAGACCGCCGTCATATAGCTGAAATATTGCTGAGTGCGGCGTTAAACAGCAAACAAGCAAAATAACAAACATTATATGATTATTAACAAATCATGCCGGTGAACTATGGGCCTGACATGTCATGTTTGAATCTGAATTTGCATTTTATAGTATTTTAGTGTGCGTGCGAGTGCGTGTGTGTGTGTGTGTGTGTGTGTGTGTGTGTGTGTGTGTGTGTGTGTGTGTGTGTGTGTGTGTGTGTATTTGTGTGTGTGTGTGTGTGTGTGTGACGGCAATTTATTTATTTCGGAGATATGAACATAGTGTGTTTTCAATGTAGAGCTAGGTTACCTGTAGATTTAACCACGCTAAATTGAATTAAGAATCGAAAGCACAGCATGAGGTTTCAAATGTTAAATTTAGCGCTGTTAAACTAGCTCTACATTGAAAACACAGTATGTTTATCTCCAATCTGCCATAACTAAATAAAACGCGAACTTTGTGGTGTAAGCAAATATAATCAGTAAAGCGGCATGGGTTGAGTCCAATGTTTTGAGTGGGTTATCGATCTGAATTACAGATTCACCGACAAAAGCCTTTTACAAAATATGGCTCTGTATATTTTCAAGCAGTTTGTTTACACCGTAATACTTCACTCGAACATAGGACAGGCATTGAAAGCATATAAGCACGGAAACTTTGTAAGCTAACATGAGGTGGGCACGCCTTAAGAAAAATAAGCAAAATTTGCAAAGCTTTAGTTCGTCACTCTTATGACGTCATAATAGTCATGAGGTCACAGTCGCATATATAGAAACGAGCCAAAACCCAAGCTCTCTGATGTCCCCAAGCTAAAATACATTCTCTTTGTAGATTTCTATAGTGTTTTGTGCACGAAATGTATTGCCACACACCCTTTGAATATTGTAGTAACTGCATCTTTGCATTTTGTAACCCATAGTTGCAGATATAATTATTTAAAAATGGCCGACGATAGACCTACCGTCAGTTTCAATCAGAGTGCGGTTATTGTGATTTGACAATCTCTGATTGACCAATCAGAATCGAGTAATTTCCAAATTCATGGTAGAATGTATATTTATATGTACCTGTATATGTTGTCGCATGTATGTATGTGTGTGTGTGTGTGTGTGTGTGTGTGTGTGTGTGTGTGTGTGTGTGTGTGTGTGTGTGTGTGTGTGTGTATGTGTGTGTGTGTTAAATAAGTTTTGCAACTTCAATTTAAGACCAAGTATATCTTTTGCACTTTTATTTTTCAATATAATCTCCATTCACCTCAATGCACTTTTTCCATTTGTCCTTCAAGCTTTCAGTACCACTTTTATAGAAATCCGCAGATTAAATCACCCACACTACAGCCCAGACTTAGCCCCCAGTGACTATTTCCTGTTCCGGCAAATGAGCGCCAGGCAGGGTAACAACAAGTACCATCTTTTAACGTCTTTTGGTATGACGCGGCCGGGAATCGAACCCCGGACCTTCAGCTCTACGGTGGGACGCTCTACCACTAGACCACTGAGGCGGGCGCATGTCATGCAGACACAATCTTAAATCCTATCGCTACCGACTCAACAGTTTCAAATGATTCAACTAACCTTTCAATTTAAAACCTTTTGCCCCTTAAAATCTCATTAAATCTTACACTACAACACAAGTCGTTTCGTTAATTCAGTTTTTATCTACCTACATAAAAGCTTTTACAAATCTCGTCAATTAGGTGGTGTCCATTTCACGTTGATTGTATACACTGATATAAACAAACCATCCATTGACAGCGGGCATTGTCAGTTTTGACAGGCGGCGTGAAAATGATGGCTTGCGTTGCAAAGATCACGTGATTTGTTGGTGCCCGTTTCCATCACAAAGCAATTGATCGGTTTTCGATCGGGAGACACACACTTCAGCACAAAACACAGCGCCACTTGATACATCAGAGGTTTATGACGCCGTTACTAGTCACGACACATACAGTGATAAACCAGACCCTCAAAGCTGAACGAGCAGCTGCCGTTAACATCCGTATGATGTAAATTTATTTCATAGATCGAAAAAAAAGCTTCGGTAAATATCCTAATGTTTTGGTATAACTACCTTGAGTTATGAGGTTAGTTTCAATTTGGCTGAATAGCTCACATTTTGCGCTTCAAATATTATGGTAATGTTACAGATGGAGTGAGTGATTAAGTTGGGTTTTACGCCGCTTTCAACAATATTTCAGTTATATCACGGCGTGTCAGCTACGTGGCGGGAAAATCACGAACATGGTATTGTGAAACCTAGAAACATAATAGGGGCGAACAAGGATTCAAAACAACAAATCATTGGTTCCTGGCATGCCAAAGGGACGCAACTCTGCACAACACTTGCGGCGCCTTGACGACTGGGACACCCTTGCCAAACACAGTTGGGGCGATTTTTCATTAAACAAACGGAATAAAATAGTAGTGAAGTTGTGCTCTGTTCGAGACAAAAGTAGTGTCGTATTAGTTGCACAACACTTGCGTCGCCTTAGACGACTGGGACACCCTTGCCAAAAACAGTTGAAGTGAATTTTCATTACACAAACGGAATAAAATCGTAGTCAAGTTGTGCTCTGTTCGAGACAAAAGTAGTGTCGTATTAGTTGCATCATCTTCGATATAACGAAGCTCGAGTTTCACTTTATGATATACGATTTTCAATTTCTGTAGAGTATTAATGAAGGCAATAATAACATTCATTTCATCACGTGGCCGGCACTTAGTGTTATACTGAAACATGGATGTGATGGTTTAGGGCCTCATGTGTGTGTGTGTGTGTGTGTGTGTGTGTGTGTGTGTGTGTGTGTGTGTGTGTGTGTGTGTGTGTGTGTGTGTGTGTGTGTGTGTGAAATGAACACTATGATGGTTCATGCAACATGGTTGCACTTGTGGAAATGCATTGCTGTCGTTCTAAATATAATAGTTCGTAGCCTAGCTAGGCTAACATCTAGCCTTTGAAATGAGCATATCTTCCAGAAAAACAGTTGTTTAATTATCTCAATAAGATATAATAAAAATGAGCCCAGAGACTCTCTTCATTTTCAGATACTGCAGTATTGCCCACTATTAAAGACTTGTATGGGCTGTTTTAGATTTACAGAAATATATTCGGACATTGTATTTACACATGTTATTTGTTTCAGGGTCTGCATGACAGACTTGTCGCCTATCGTACATATCCATCTGTTATTGGGGGCAACGTACATGTAACAGCTTCCTTTATAAGAAATATATACAAGTACTATTATTACTCTAGGCGATATAGTACTGTCAAATCAGCGAACTATGTTTAACTGCCTACCCAGGGCATGTATGTCTGTCAAGGCACAGAGAGATGACACACACGTGCCAATCTTCCTGAGAATATGTGGTTAATTATGGCTGATTGCACTTAACTGTCGGGCAAAATAAAGTATACGCTTGAACACTAGATGTGACCGAACATAACACATGTTATAAAAACGTCACTAAGCTGAACACTGTCGGCGAAACACTGAAAACAGGTCCAAACGCAAGTTTGATACCCGTATCAAATACATCACCATCGAATAACCATTTCTTATTTGTTTACTTTATCTTTTGCCCCCCCCCCCCCCCCCCGGTATATGTCGGTTACATGAAACAGAAATAATCAGCCATGAAAAAACGCCCATAATTATATAAAAGTTCATGCAATGTAATTCGGTCAGATATTAATCACGTTCACTGTAACAAGGCAACATTTAAACTCTACATACTCCAATACAAACTATAGGCGTTTAACCCTAACTCGTTGTGCCTCTTAAACTGCCGTGCACGCGACAAGGACAGGATTAACGAAGACCAAAGTCATGCTAAATATCACAGGTTCACAAGTCAATATAAAAACATATTACCGTAAAGACATTATGGTTATACAACCGGTCAACACTTTCGCTTACCTTTAAAGCCATGTTAAATCCACTCTCACGTCTACTCCTACCAACGTCTCCAAACCTAATGTCGTCGTTTACCGCGATACCGACCCGACGGCTCTCAAATACTTGCTGCGTTCTAACAATCGCGCTTGGCGACCCGCGTTCGAACGATCGATCACTCGATAGCGCTATTGAATATCTCCCAAATGGTCGCTCCATAAATTTTCAAAGCTTTTTTTTTCTTAAACGTCAATCGTTTACTAACCCCACGGCCCCCGTCTGTGTGGGTAACAGTCCCTGTAGGAAAGTCCGTCTCGAATTTTTAACATGCTCTTGAATACCAAATGATTGTAATCCCTTCAGATTCCCGAGCTAAAGCAAAGTCATGTCATGTTAGCTTATCGCCCTCTACATTTAACAGTTGGAACGCTCGATCGTTTGAAATACTTGATTGAAAACAAACAAGGTATAGAAGCGCGGGAGAAGTAGAAATCAGGAATGGGGGATCGCAGAGCCGATCATGGATTAGCGTGGATGATGTTTGTTTTCTTTTCTTTTGGCTTGTAGGCTTGGGGTCAGGCGGGGTGAGGAATGTTTGAAAGGCGTTTTATTGTCGCAAGCATAAACCCTGATTGTATGTTCAGTAAACTTAACTCCTTGTGCTGTTTTCAGTAGCCGAGTTTCTGTGTAAGAGGCTTATTGTGTGGTATCAGTTAATCCTTTTTATGACTTCTGTGTTTGAGGACAATGCCCTCAGCATGTGGACTTGTGTTAAACAATAATGGCTAGTTCTAATGAGAATCAAATATACTGTTAATATAATACATATCACATATACTGCTGGGAAAAAGAAATGATACACCTATGTTTGATGGTGGCTAAAAGTGAAACAAACAAGAAATGGTTATTCTGTGGCGGTGTATTTGATACGGGCATCACTGTTGTGTTTTGGACCTTAACTTTGCAGAGCTTCCGCGACTTTATTCAGTCTAGTGACGTTTTGATAACGTTTGTAGTGAGTGAGTGAGTGAGTTTGGTTTTACGCCGTTTTTAACAGTATTCCAGTTATATCACGGCGTGTCAGCTTAATGTGGGAGGAAAGCCCGAAGTGATGCAGGTCTCAGACGTTTACCACTTCGGTGAAACCCACGAGCACGGGTATGGTGCTGACAAACCTAGAAACATGATCGGGGCGAACCGGGATTCGAACCATCAATCATAAGTTTCTGGCGTGCCCAAGGGACGCAACTCTGCACAGCGAATCGCGGCGCCTTAGACGACTGGGCCACCCGTGCCCCCGATAACGTTTGTAGTACAGTAAACTACGTTTATAACGAACATGCTTATAACGAACTGACGGATATAGCGAACTTATTTTTAGTCCCGACCATTTGTTGGATATATGCTGTATGTATGCTTATAACAAACTACGGTTATTACGAACAAAAATTAGTGGGTCCCCTCGAGTTCGTTATAACCGTAGTTTATTTTGGTCGTATCTAATTTTGCAGTGTATACTTTCTTTTGCCAGACAGTTTATTAGTGCGCGCACGCTCAGTAAAGTGCATTACAAAATAAGGTAAATATATGCGAAGTGTTGTCAGGTGCATGGCTACTCTATTAAAACAGACCGGCATCACTTCGGGTTTTCCTCCCACATCCAGCCGACACGCCGTGACATAACTGGAACATCTTCCAAAGCGCTGTTGAACCAAACTCACTCACAGTGTATAAAAACACGAATGGTATCAATTTTATTTTACAATAAGATACTTCCAAACACTAATTTGTATTTAACCCAACACCATCCTGGCCATATAGATACACACGATTCGCTTCCCGCTTTCTGTGTGAAGCAAGGGAATCTGTTAACCTAGGTTTCAGGGATGGCACGAGTTCCTATGTTCACTGTGCGCCACTATGTATATTTTCTATTCTATCGCATTTCGTTTGTATTCTTTTCGCGTAATTCGCATTTCGTTTCTACTGTAATCCCAGTTTGGTATTATTGTCTCTCATCTGAGTAAACTCTTGTGAATTGGAGAGTCGGGCTTTTGATATATTGGCGGTGTTCGACTCATTCGAGATTGATGGATGGATTGATAGTGAAATTGAAATTCCCATTTCTATATCTGGGTGTGCGTCATTCTCCTGCCTGTTTCCTGTCTAGCTTAAACATGTTTTCATTTCAACTGAAAATTGGAATCGGTAAACAAGACAACCCTTCTTTTAATACCTCTTTCTATGGAAAAGTTCAGTAGCAAAAAATTAGTCAAGGTGTAGCCCATCTGCTTGGTTCAGTATTTCGGTATTTCGACTACTCAGTGAAGCGGCTAGGTCCGTATTAATCTGCCGTAAGCCGATATGCCGCCCTTTCATGGCGTCTGAATCCAGATCACGTATCAATAGTCAGGTTCAAACCTGAGGGTCACGATATGGCTGAAATATTGCCGATGTGACTTTAAATTAACTCACTCACTCACTCAAACCTGAGGACCCGGATTACCCAAAGGGGACGTCAAGGTGTTGTACATAGACAGGCAGGTTTTCATCCCGACAATGTTAGATAATGCTATTTTTGAAGTGAGAAATATTTGCATGCAGATTGAAAATTTAGTGTGATGTGTTGATTTTCGAAATGTCTAGTCCGGCGAGTCAACCGAATATTAGACCTTCTGTTTCCTAACTTAGTGATCTGAATTTTTTTATTCAAGACATAAAAGGTCAGTGGTTGAATTAAAGATGAAATAATAAATGGAAATGAAGATTGTTATTAGTTATTTAAAGTTGTGTTTTGTTTAAGTTCGCAGTGTTTCGGCAACTGTTTTCAGTCTAGTATGTGGTTAAAAAACGTTTGTAATTCTTTAGTCAAATTCAATTTTTATGTGTATATTTTCTTTTCCCTGGCAGTATATTATCCTACAATTGTGAAATGTTTGCCTGGCGCTCCGTAAAATCAAGAAACAGTATACTCACTAAATATGCGAATTATATGTGCAGCTGGAGTTGACTAGGCCCCGACCCTGTATGTCAAAACAACGAGTTTAGAGTTAGTGGACGGGCGTCTTGCCAGTACACTGTTACATCTGGCGGAATACTGTTTAGAGTTGCCTCCCTTCCACAGAGAGTCCAATCAGCCACGAACGGCCCTGTCACCGTCTGTCTCCCGGACCCCAGGGAATAAATTAAGAAAGGAATCCAACTCAAGTCTAGAATATTTTTGGCAAGACTAGATTGCGTGGAATAAATCATTATTCTGGGCTCTCTTTGGATTTTATTTCACATTTTGTTGAAATATATTTATTTTAAAGATTATTTCTGGGACTAAAATGTTGGTCCCTTTTTATCACTAGCGTCAGAGCAGGATTTGTGAACAGTCAGTGAAGACTATTAATTTTTTCTGGTATGACATTTTCTTACGCGCTTATTTCTTTTCGTGTTATCAACTTGTGGTAATCAGCTGTTATTTGGAACCTCAGTCAAAATGGAAAAGAAACTTATTTGTCACATGTCTTTGTTTTCGGTTTCAAATAAATATATAGAAAAACTGGGGCAGAGGGGGTTGGGGTGTCAAAGGCGCCCAAACTCACCGTTGCAGAGTGACGTCCCCTGGACGTGTCAGGTACAAGCTCCTTCCCAGCGTGCGCCACCTTCGTTACTTATTAGGTAGTATAAAGTGCTCGGAACGGGCTATCGCTGTAAGGAGATTGTGCCAGATACAATTCCCAGAGCTTGCTGTGATTACGAACATACAATGACTGGTCTATCGGCACCACACCCGTGCTTGCAGGTTTCACGAAGGAGGTGAACGCATCCCACCAGTGTATAGCTGTGGTTGCTAATTGGTTAAAACGTTCGCTCGTCACGCCGAAGACCCGGTTCGGTTCCCCGCGTGGGTACAATGTGTGAAGTTCGTGTCTGGTATCCTCCGCCGTGATATTGCAGGAATATTGCTAACATCGACGTAAACCCTAAATCACTCCCTACCCAAGTCACGATACGACTGAAATACTTCTCAAAACTCTTACACTCACATAATGATACAAACAAAAGTATGATTCTATATTTTGATCGTTTATATTTCAAATAGACCTACATATAAAACAATTTATTCGAACGGCATGAATGTTTAAAATATTCATATTTGCGAGATCATCGAGGTATGTAAAAAAGCGATATATATAAAACAAAGAAGTGTTCTCCAAAATATACAAGATATATATTATCTTAAATTAATACAAAAATATTAAAGGACACATTATACAAAAAGGAAGAACGTGTATATATGCCCCCCTTCATCTTGAGATTAGAACACTAAAAGGAAAAACAGTGCATGCAAAACGAAAAGATAAGTGATATTGAGAAATCAACATGAATTGAGAATCAAGAAAAGGAGAAAACATGTAATAAAACAAAATACAGTTAAACTTTGTAAGTACGTGTGAACATGTTGAAACAATGTTCAATCAACCAGGCGTTGAAATGAAACCAGCACACAAAGTCAGCGATCTCACTCCCTCAGGGATACACTAAGTGCGCGATCAAGACTACCAGTTGTCGAACTTCCATTTATTGTGGAATCCTCGGTGGCTGAGTGGGTTAGATCGCTGACTGAGTGCTGGGGATTATTCTGGCAGTGTGGGTTCGAATTCCGGACGGGACTCAACCTATCAAAGTACAAGAATCTGTACTTTACCAAGAAAGTGATTTCCAAAATATAACATTTGTTCCATTTGACCACTTTCTAAATGACATATATACAAATAATCATTCAACCGGGCATGGAAATTTGAAAAAAGTTCCAACAACGTCCATTGATGAATTAAGAAAAAAATACTGCGTCCAAACAGAACATGATCTTTTAAAAAATTGTTTCTATTTTACAGATACACCTTGTTTGACGTAGCTAAATGCTCATCCTGGCATTGCATGAAATGTTAACCCGAAAACAATACAAAGGAATATTTAATAGATATATAATGTTTGTCTGATTTAGTAGTGAATCCAAGCAAACTGAGATCATGCAAGGATGTGTATATGCATAACGGTGAAGATTAACTCAGATAAAAACACACTAGCGCAAAGAAAATGGTTGGGCCCGCTCTTCGTCTTCCTTACTTTCAGTTTGGGAGCAAAGCCAGATATTGTTCAAAATGTCGGTTGTGGTATACCGTTTGGTAGTATCTGGCTCCAGTATTCTCTTTATCAAAGCCTTGACATCAGGGTTGATCTTATCCTTGACCTTGGATGGAAAGCAAACCCCATCCTTCTGTCTCTGTACCATTTTCTTGATGTTGCTGTCATCAAACGGCATAGATCCACAGGTCAATATGAACAAGATGCACCCTAAACTCCATACATCGTTCTGACGAGGATCATAAGGAGTTCCTTTTATCAGCTGAGGAGAAGCATAGGCCGCGCTCCCACAAAAGGTCTTGCTGGGCTTATTGTTCTGATCAAACCTACGAGAGAAGCCGAAATCGCTGATAATTATATCCATATTTTTCTTTATGAGTATATTCTCGCATTTCAAGTCCCTGTGCACGACCCCTATTTCATGAAGGTAGTTTACTGCGCTGACAATCTGCCGAAACATTTTCTTTGTCTCCTTCTCTTTGGGCGCACCATTGTTCATGATGTGCTCAAGCAAGTCTCCCTTCTGAGCGTAGTCCATTATGATGAACACTGATTTGTCAGTCTCGATGATCTCCTGGACTTGAGCCACGTGCTCGTGTTTGATGCTCTGCACAATCTCCAGTTCCCGTGGCATAAAGTCCTGAACATAATCCGCGGGGGCCTTCTCTCGATCAATTACCTTCGCTGCCAGGATCTTCCCATCCGAAATTCTCTCGACCAGTCGAACCTTCGCGTAACTACCCGAACCAATCTTCGGCCCCAGCATGTAACCATTCTCCATTATAACCTCCGACATGTGAAGGAATTGTTTCGACGTGGGCGACTCCGCCCTCGGCATCTTGGTGAAATTATTCCACTCGTATTTCAGAAAGTCAAACGAATCTTCGGGTCGATCAAGCTGCCTGACTGTCCAGCTGAGCCGAGGGGGCAGCGGCTGACTGAAAAAACGAACAACCCGCCTTGCGAACTTCCTTAAGCGACTATCCTTACGGACTGACTTCGGAAATTCTTGTATCTTCTCTTCTGGTTGCCGTCCGGCAGACTTAGACCTCAGACACGCAAGCATCAGTAGTCATCGAGAGACTATTTCAACCGCCCGAATGCACAAGCGAATAACGTTGCCACAGACGACGTCATCGACACGGTTGACCTTTCTTGACCTCGACAATAACGTCACGTGATACGCAGCGCCCCAAAACGTATTGGTATTTAGGCCAAATGTCGGACATTTATAATCTCGCATCACTTGGTGCGGGTATCGGTATTTATTGTAAACAAATAAAAAGAGAAAATAAGCATAAGAAATAGAAAATTAAACCTAGCAGTGCCCGGAGGAGTGTCGAAGATTAGTGTGTTTCAGTGGTTGGGGGTTGCGGGTTGCGGGTTGGGGGTTGGGGTTGGGGTTGGGGTTGGGGTTTTATTTAGAGAAGGTTTTGTGGAGAAGTGGCCTTCATGGTTTAGTTGACAGAGATGACTCAGTAGAGAGCGGAAGGTCGGCTGTTCGATCCCCGTTCGCGTCATGCCGAAAGACGCTAAATAGATAGTACTTGTTGTTTCCCTGTCTGGCGATCAGGGATAATGGGATAAAACTCGGAATGACCGGCTCGGAGTGAGTACAGTGTGGGTTCACAGGTGGCAAAGTCATCTAAGGCGTGTCCTAAGGTTGTGTCCCTTGGGCACGCCAGAACCCTTTGTTTGTTTTGTTTGTTGTTTAACGCTTCACTCAGCAATATTCCAGCTATATGACAGCGCTCTGTAAATAATCGAATCTGGACCAGACAATACAGTGATTGATAACATGAGCCTCGATCCAAGCAAATGGGATACGATAAAATCTATCTATTAAGTCTGCGAGCCTGACCAACCTATTCCGATAGTTCCTTCTTACGACAAGCATAGGTTGTTGAAGACCTATTCTAACCCTGATTTTCACGGGTTGCCAGAAACCAAAGATCGTGGGTTCGAATCCCGGTCTGCACCTGATTATGTTGCTAGGTTTGGCAGCACCACAACAGTCATCGTTGGTTTCACCAAAGTGTTAAACGTGTAAGGCCTGCATCACTTCGGACTTTCCTCCCACATGAAGCTGACACGCTGTGATATAGCAGGAATACTGTTAAAAGCAGCGTTAAACCCAACTCACTCACTCACTCGGCATTAACCCAGCAAGGGTAGAAACTGTACTTTTATATTCAGTTAAGGCCCTTGCCTCCGGAAGATGCACTGCATCTCGCTGTGAGGAGTTGCGTCCCATGTGAACGCTGATCGACCTGGTTGTGAGACCCGTTAAGATCGGCGTTGAAATAGGTCTTCAGCAAACCATGCTTGCCGTAACAGGCGACTAACAGGATCGGGTGATCAGGCTCGCTGACTTGGTTGTTGCATGTCATCGTATCCCAATTGCGTGGATCGATGCTCATGATGTCAATCACTGGATTGTCTGGTCCAGACTCGATTATTTACTGACCGCCGTTATATAGCTGGAATATTGCTGAGTGCGGCGTTAAACAACAAACAACAACAACAACAACCTGGTTGCGACCTCTAACCAGTATGGTCATACTCGTGGGTTCTGTCAAACTTGGGTGGGGTAGCCTAGTGGTTAAAGCGTTCGCTCGTCACGCCGAAGGCCCGGGTTCGATTCCCGACATGGGCTCAATGGGTGAAGCCCATTTATGGTGTCCCACGCCGTGATATTGCTGGAATATTGCTAAACGTGGCGTAAACCCATACTAACTCACTCCAACATACTGGAAAACGTTCATATGACTTGTGTCTCTTTCATTTTGGACTTCCCTTCCGGGATATTGAAATACTGTTTTGACGTTCTATTAAGACGAATTGATGGATTAAATGCATGCGCTCGTGACATTATAAAATAGTGATCGTTCAATAGTAGAGTGTGAAGGCACATGCGTGAGCACTGGAATATACGTGAATACATGTATTCGAAAAAGAATATGCGAATATTGAAACAAAAACCTTTGGCATTATCTATATTTTCGTGAAATGACAATGAATATCAGTATTCAATCTACCTGTAAACGTTAGTATGGGAATACAGTGCACGTAGCAACACTTGAAATAAAGAAAAAAAATCATCTAAGGATTTTACTTCTAATTGCCAAATGTTTAGAGTTACTCCCCTTATGCCACACTTTTCATTATTCCAATAATATGGGAAGAAACACAATTACTGACATTACTTGTTTGATAGGTAGAAGTTGACGGGTGACAACAACTTCTTTAATACTGTAAAAAGCGACGTTTCGGTATAGATCCTTATACCGTTGTCAAGCAAGACTGAATGAGGGACATAGTACAGAATATATATAGTAGGTATTTTACAGTATTAAAGAAGTCGTTATCCATAAAATTGTGTCGAATTACCTAATTACTGACATTTCGAATATTAATATTTTGTGTGTCGACCCGGAAGATCCAGGGTAGAATAGGTCTTCAGCGACCCATGCTTGCCGTAAAAGGCGACTATGCTTGTCGTAAGAGGAGACTAACGGGATTGGGTGGCTCGCTGACTTGGTTGATGCATGTCATCTTACAATTGCGTGCATCGATGCTCATGATATCAATCAATGGATTGTCTGGTCCAGACTCGTTTATTTACAGACCGCCGTCATTTAGCTTGGATATTGCTGAGTGCTGCGTTAAACAACAAACAAACAAACGGACAAACAAACAAGCTTTATGCAGGTGGCTCTGAAGATGACTGGGGACCTATCAAGTAGGTCAGGTTAGCTCTAAGTGAGCGAGTGAGTTTGTCACGTCATTCATACACATGCAACCACGTGACACACTGCAACCACCCGATCCTCATTTAGTCGAGACACACCACGTGACACTACGGAATCTCCTTGTCCGTCTCAAACATTCCCCTTTGAAATGCTGTTCATTTTGAAAGAAACGTTTTATTTATAGAAACGTTTATACAAAATAGTATACCGTGACACCGTGCATATGGACGTATTGAAAATGTATTGATAACATGGGTATATTTATTAACTGTGCCAGGCCATGTGTGCATATATTAAGCCTTCATCGGAAGATACCCTTGAATGCCCTTGGGTGGGTGTATGGTCCTTCCACGGTGCGCGGCCATCTTAATATGTCCTTAAAACACAGAAGTCAGTTATCAATTGTCGTGACGTAGTTTCACAGTAATATGTCGTATCGTTGCCTATAAACAGCGACCTTGGATGTGTCATTCGGAACACGCAGAGTTGTGAAGGAGATTGTCACTGCCGATGCACTTTGAGCTCGTGCGGCGTGATCTGTACGCCCAATCATGCCAGGCAGATGGTCGACCAACCGGGTTTAGTTGATTTGGTAGGTTTTAACGTGTAGCACCTAGATACATATTGTATAACGATAACAGCAGCAGATAACCTGATGCCAAGTTAGGGCACTTTCTATAGTCTGTAGCAACGAGGTCATTGACATATTACTTTTCTTCACAAATTGTTTTATTTTTCATTTCAGTGAAACTTCCTTAATCCCGGTAATCCCCAATACATCGTTCCGGGATGATTATCCCTGGGAACGCCAAGATATATATACCGCACAAAAAGATAGGGATCAGGATATTACTATGAAATTGTGTGCTAAGTCTTCGTTGCCAAAAAATATCTCCCAAAATATTCAAGATCCTTAACATTTTTTGTTCTGCATAAATACAATGTTTGTATATACCGTATTTATTGTAATGAGCGTCTGGGATCTTATAAAATTGACAAAGTCGATCACTTATTAAAGTTTAAAGAAACGTTGATGAAATGTTTTCGATAATAGTGAGTTAGTATGGTTTTACGCTGCTTTTAGCAATATTCCAGCAATATCACGGGGAAGGACACCAGAAATGGGCTTCACCTATTGTACCCATGTCGGGAATCGAACCCGGGTCTTCGCCGTGACTAGCGAACGCTTTAACCAGCTTTTATTGCAGCAGGGTGCATAATGTGGCTTTAAGGTATATACTTTACTCAGTAGTACATTGTTTATCTTGATAATATAAGAATGGATAGAGACCATGCTATCGGGATTCACCGCGTTTCACTGACAAGGCTGATTTAATCATGTCATCCCTTTCATTCCGATACTTGGTTATCTGGATCTCTGACAACTACACACAGAAAGATAGATGGTCATCATGACAAGGCAGTGTATACGCTTTACTGACAATGAAATCCATGCATGGTCAACATGACAAGGCAGTATATATGGTTTATTGACGATGAAATCCATGCATGGTCATCATAACAAGGCAGTATATACGCTTTATTGACGATGGAATCCATGCATGGTCAACATGAAAAGGCAGTATATACGCTTTATTGACGATGAAATCCATGCATGGTCAACATGACAAGGCAGTGTATACGCTTTATTGACGATGAAATCCATGCATGGTCAACATGACAAGGCAGTGTATACGCTTTATTGACAATGAAATCCATGCATGGTCAACATAACAAGGCAGTGTATACACTTTATTGACAATGAAATCCATGAATGGTCAACATAACAAGGCAGTGTATACACTTTACTGACGATGAAATCCATGCATGGTCAACATGACAAGGCAGTGTATACCCTTTATTGACGATGAAATCCATGCATGGTCAACATGACAAGGCAGTGTATACGCTTTATTGACGATGAAATCCATGCATGGTCAACATAACAAGGCAGTGTATACACTTTATTGACAATGAAATCCATGCATGGTCAACATAACAAGACAGTGTATACTCTTTATTGACAATGAAATCCATGCATGGTCAACATGACAAGGCAGTGTATGCACTTTACTGACGATGAAATCCATGCATGGTCAACATGACAAGACAGTGTATACACTTTACTGACGATGAAATCCATGCATGGTCAACATAACAAGGCAGTGTATACTCTTTATTGACAATGAAATCCATGCATGGTCAACATGACAAGGCAGTGTATACTCTTTATTGACAATGAAATCCATGCATGGTCAACATGACAAGGCAGTGTATACTCTTTATTGACAATGAAATCCATGCATGGTCAACATGACAAGACATTGTATACGCTTTATTGACAATGAAATCCATGCATGGTCAACATGACAAGGCAGTGTATACTCTTTATTGACAATGAAA